CATGATGAACAAAACCCTGGTCTGTAGGAACTGATCGATAGCATATCAATCACCGACAACGTAACTGTAATGAATGACCAAAAATGACAGCTGAATACAGCAGCACTTTTCGACACATATTGAGAGTTCAATGACAAAATCAAGTAAGGAATAACTCTATTCCATTCTCGACACATGTATCCCTGGTGGATGCAAGAATTAGGCAAATGAAGTTCACCTTGTATCACGAGCTCTGCATTAACCATTCATTTTGGTTTGCGATTTTCTCATATAAAAACATACACATGGCAGATGGGTTCACCGACAAATGGGCGATAGATATATGCGCGCAGACAAAACCGCGACGGACAAATGAGCGCCGTCAAAATCGCTAATTGATTTTCGACAATAGCGCGCCGACAAAATCGCGTCATCAAGAAACTATAGACAGCCCTTTGAGTGTGCTGGGCCTTTAATATACTGGGACGCGTATACGTACGTTATAATGCAGTCAGGACACACCAGTTGAATAATACGTTTTAGTTATACTGAAGCCATGGATATTATTAAGTCACAGAAAGGAAAACGACAACTGCTGTATGAAGGATGTCGATATCGACGCGACAAGTTAAATCAAGGTGGATCGTCTTCATGGAGGTGCATTAAAAGAGAGTGTGCCGGCACGCTTAAGAAGACAACAGACGGGACGTTACAAACAAGTACTGAACACATGCACGCTCCAGATACCGCAAAAAATGAAAGTGAAAAAATAAAAGCGACTATACGCGAACGAGCTGAAAATTGTGTGGAAAAACCTCGTCAGATTATTGTGAACAACACAGCAGGAGTCTCGCTGGAAGCAGCTCATCTTTTGGGCCAGCATTATTGTCGTATTCAGCTAGAAAACGGACTGTCGAGCGGAAAACGAAAGAGGCCTGACGTCAGCAATCCTAGGCCACATTCTGTTCAAGACATCATTCTTCCGGACACCATGAAGACAACAACACGTTGTGAAAATATTCTTCTGTGGGATTCGGGTGATCAAGACACAAACAGAATGTTCATTTTCGGCACCGCAGCAAATTTGCAATTGTCTGCACTGGTTTATGGACGAATCATTCAAGGTAGCTCCCAAATATTTCTACAGGTATTTGCGATACATGCTTTAATTGACAATCGCTCAATTCCATTAATATGTGTGCTCATGAGGAAAAAGGCTGACTATGAGAGGGTTTTCCGCAAAGTGATCGAACTGCGACCATCTCTCACGCCTGTCAGCATTCTGACTGATGTTGAACAAGGAACTATGAATGCACTGGCAACAGTATTTCCACATGTTACCGTTATTTGGCTGTCTGTTTCACCTTGGTCAGTCATTATGGCATCTTATACAAAATGAAGGCTTATCTAAATTGTACCGCGACGATGAGAACATTAAACTGTACTCAAAAATGCTAAATGCACTGAGTTTTGTTCCTTCGGAAGATGTTGTGCCGGCCTTCGAAAAACTGAACGATAGTAGACAAGGCAATCTTCAGATTGTTCATGATTACTGGGAAGACAATTACGTTGGTCGTTTGAGACGCAATCGACGAGCTAACTCGTTGTTTCCTATCACCGTGTGGAACATGCGAGGTCGTGTTGCTGATGGCTTGCCGCGAAAAAATAACTCTGTCAAGGGTTGGCATAACGCATTCCAGTCGTCTATAGCATGTCACCATCCAACCATTTACACACTGGATCATCATTTCCGTCGTGAGCAAGACTTAACAGAACAAACCATCAGTCGCAGTCGGGTAGCAAGAAAGTCTAAATACATGCAACTATCAAGACGCCTTGCTGCAATTCTTCTTACATATGGAAGGCGTGATATTAAGGACAATCCCCGTGCTGTATGTAATAATATTAACATCTAAATGAATTAAAACTATTTAGTGAAAAATTTTTTTGTTGAGTTTTATAATGGTGTGCGGTCACATTGAACTAATTCGCTAATCAAACAATAGCAGTAATTTTTTCGATTTTATTGTGCTTGTCATCGCGCTTTTGTCGTCGCGAATTTGTCGGCGCGATTTTGACGTCGCATTTTAATCGGCGTGGTTTTGTCGGCGCGCATATGTCCATCGCGCAATTGCCGGGTCACGGGCAGGTGCAAACAAAAACACAAGTAGGAAACAAAGATGAGCTACAATTAGGAAGCTAGGCATACTAAGAGGAACCGTTCCTTCTACAATGCTATTATAATCAATGCTTTATAACAATAACGTTGAAGACCTTAGTGGTGAACATAAATCGAGCGCGTTCTCAAGGTTATATTCTGAGCGCTTCAAGGTAGTCAAGTGAATTCTGAAGAATTATGAAGAGCTGAACTGTGCAAGCATCAAAGAATTGAAAATGAATTTGAAAAATAATTCAGGTCAGATTTCACAAATATGTGAACCAATGACCTGCAGAAGTTAATGGACTTAAGCTTGAAGAGGCGCCAACCTACGTCTGTATTTGACAGCTAATCTCTATAACGGAGAACCGACTCTGCAAAATCAACATACATGAAAATAGCACGAAGTCTTGAAAAATGAAAATGCTTTTATCGGTAAACAGCAGCTGTGATTCAAACGGCAAGGTTTCTGTCAAAGTGTTCCCAATGGATGCGAAATGTGGACCCTAAGTCTCAAAGGCATTCATAGACCGCAGACTACGGAACAAAATGGAAAGACTTATGTTGGGAATAAGAAGAATAAACAGGAATTGGCAAGCGCAGAAACAATGAACCAGAGAGGCATTAGACTCCGTTCCAACAAAAAGAAAAAGACCTGTGTAGGAAGATCTTCACATCGATGACACGATAAGTTTAAGAAATTCGTTGGATCAAGGTGAATAACTCTCGCAGAAAACAAGTTTATGGCAAAGTACTGAAGGTCTTCATTCAGAAGTGGATCGAAAAATGATGGTGAAGAAATCTGACAATGCTTCGTTGAGGAAAACTAGTTTTCGAAATATGACCTTCATAACTGCACTAAACGTTGTCTAATATAAACACAGATATGAGACTCCGTTTAAAATGCTCAAACATCAAAAAGATAGGTTACTTTCAAGTTCAAGCTTTCATAAAGTTAGACGACTATAACAAAAAATGAAACTAAACAACCAGAACCAACTGATAGCCCGTAATTGCGCAAACTTTGTTGTCTAACAGTATGAGCCTTAACTGCGTTCAAATTCAATTATTTTATAAAGGTTGCCTGTAAAACAGTGCCTTACCAGAAGCAGGAGGTTTTCGCAGCAGCGGCCTGAAGTTAGTAGAGCAGCTTCCGGTGTTGCCAGCAAAGTTCAAGCAAGAAAACACATCACCCATTCGCAGCAAGGGGTTTGAACAGCGCCATAACACCAACTCATTCAATAATCTACAGAGCACCATAAACTAAGAAATGCAAGCTATGTATTTACCGATTATACAGAATTTCACAGAGTCTTTTATCAGGCATCACCAGCCGCGTCTGTTCTACTTCGATCGTAACACTAATATCAGCCTGGCCTGTGACAGTGTCTCGAAATTCCGCAAGCTCTTCAGCGCTGCCTGCCACCGTCAACTAAATCATCGACAATACAGCCTGGAACGAGAAGCGAAGAATTTTAAGACAAAACAAATTTATCACACGTGATAGAGTAATTCTCTTCTCTAATTCATTAACCATTAATTTATTAGTTAATAACAATTAATTTATGAATGTCTCTGAGGATGGGTAACAATTGTGGTACAAAAGATCCTGCATCAAAACGACAGTCGGCATCAACACTGCTGATTTTCCAACGAAAGTATGCCTTCTTTATAAAAAGACAAGGCTAGGTTTTTAGTAGGAACGAATAAGATCTTGTCCATGAAGCAGCTAATACGTAATCCAAAGGTAGCACAACATCTAGTTTAATAAATACAACCACTTGAAATAAATTACGAAGACAGATAAAGCTAACAGTTGCCAATAGTTACATAAAAGAGTTTATACAATGAAAAACACTAGCGTGGTTCGATAGAGGAAGCTAAGAAGTTAGAATTCGAAAATCTTACCTGTTCTTCTTCATAGGCCACTTTTTCCTTTGAAAAGGGTCCTTTGGCAGAACTCTTGATTTCGAAAAAGCTGTGTCCCGATATATGGGGACATATGCTGTCATCAATGGTTGGCAAATCCTGTGTCGAGGAACGAATTTTCGAGAAGTCCCACTGCACGGATGCACTGAAGCATACAGATTGGTGCGTAGATGAGACAAGTTGCAGGTCAGAATTACCTGCAAGGTGTTTCTTTCTCTGCCGGATGGAAACAGCGAAACAACTTCGTGCTTTGACCATTAGCTTCTTGCAGCGAGCCTGTTCAAAGAAGGAAAACTACCTTTAAATTATTCGTTACGAGTAAAAGCGCTCAAATTTAGCTCCTGGATCGATCGTCATCCAGTCATACTGGAAAACGATACAAAACCTGATCACATTTGGCACTTGAAAATTATTAGTCTGCTGCCTGAAAAATCAATACCGACGTTTCATACGTACCTAATGATCCTTCTTCAAGCTAGAGTACCTAATATTCAGTTATCTTTGTCGTCCGCAGCAGATGTAATGTATGGAGCTTTAAGGCAACTTTATGCTGCATGCGGCAAAATTCAAGTTTTTGCGACAAGCGCGAAGAGAC